CTTTAGAATGTCATTTTCCAGTGGAAACAAAATGTATGAAACAAGAGTCCACAACACTGCTTAAATCTTTTAGGTAATTGTTCCATCCTCTCTGTTTATTTCGGCTGTGAAAAACTGGTTAGGAGTCACAAAAGCTTAACAGGCAGGATACTGAACAAAGATTTATACATTCTTCTTAATGGCTGGCAATCTATTTCTCTACTTTTCTTTTTAATAAATGCTGAACCACACAATTAAAACACAACTCAATTTCTCTTCATTATAATTTGAAATATATTTAGGGACATTTATTTTATCCTTGTCTTCAAATAACATAACTGAAAAATATTCCCATGTCTATAATATGAAACAGAAAGAGGATTCTTTCATAAGATCTACTACCTTAACGTACTTCAGACACTTACTTTGCCCTTAACAGCAACAATAAAAAAACAAACAAAAGAGATTTAAAACATAGTAGCGTATGTGATTCTGAAAAGAAATGCGACAGAGTCCAAATCAATAATCCAAACAAAATATCTCAAAATGTTATGGTAGGAAGTGTAACTACAATTATGCATGTCTAGATTTAGGTGCATTTAAAAACACAGATGCTAGTTTTCTTCCCCAAGAAATTAAATTTCTTAATTAAAACATGAGGCACTTCTCACTTACCTCTTAATTCTAACTTAAAAATGACAATATACACCAATCATTAATTCCTTCAAAAGCAATTGGAGCATCCAGCACGTATGTGCCAGGTATCATATTAGTTTCTGGATATAAGCTGGTGAATGAAACACACTTGGTCCCAATCTCAACAATGTTAACTTGGAGTGAAAAGAAAAGCACCCATATGAAAGGCAATCTATATCATAAGAAGATGCATTTTATATCAAGGGAAAAGATGAATTTTAATTGGCTTTTTTACTAAGTCAAAGAACAGGTCAATGACAAAGTTGGCAGCTGTTTCATGTGAAACCTTCCTTAAACAATTCTTATTTGATTGAAATAAAATCTAAAACAAACATAAAATTAGAGCTCACATGCATATCAGAAACTGACAAAATCTTTTGGACAGATGAGACTTGACATCAACATTCACAGGTTTACGTGTGAATGTATATTCACATAAGTCAATAATATTCCATTATCACCCAAGTTTGTAAATCATATTCTGTATGCTATTCTGCAACTGGTATTTGTGTTTGAAAGATGTTAAGAAGTTAGTTTTTAAAGCTTCTCTAAGCTCCACTACAAGCGAATAAAAAACAAAGGTATTATTGCTCTCCATGAAGGAAAACTTTCAGTATCCAAGACAATTAGCTAATTGCCAATAATTTTAAAATATATATAATAAGTTAATCAGTGTGACAGACCTAAAAACAAAGAATCAACATATTTTAACATTCTCATCACATTTAAAGTCCAAGAGAGTACCTCACACACAATAATCACTGGTACTTTCTCAACAAGAAAATTCTTCATTTAAGTAAAACTATCAAGTGAAAGAGGTATTTAAAACATGAAAGGTTTACTCCAGTCAAAAACTCTGCTATCCAAAAAAGATAGCTTTTTTCACCTATTGGATTGGCAAAGATTAACAAAACTCAGTGTGAGCAGGAATATGGAAAATAGGACTCTTGGCAGGGGAGAAGGCTCCACAGAGGGCAGTTTAGCCATAAGCATCTGCAATTAAAATGTGTATTATCTTTGGCCCAGCAGGCATATTTCTAAAAAAAAATAAATGAATAAGTATACAATGATGTACACCATTATCCAATAAAAACTATCCAAATTGTAGTCAAAGGAATGGTTAAAGTATGGGGTCTCTAAACAGTGAAATACTATATAGTCAGCAAAATGATCATGTGTGATTATGCATGTCTTTTACAATACATGTGCAGAGATACATAAAATACACTGCTACCTTTAAAGAGACCACCATATACAGTATAAACCAATTATTTAAAGAGTTGTGTATGAATATTTCCATATGCATAAATTTCTAAAAGTATGCTCACCAAGATATTAATAGCAGTCATTTCTGGGTGACAGGAGTTAGGTGTTTACTTTTGTCATTATGTCATTTTATATTGATGGAAGTTTTTTTCTCACTATTATAAAAAGAAAATAAACAATACATTTTCATTTAAGAAGATGAAGTGTTGCAATCTCACCAAAAGTGGCTTCAAATCCCTTCAACTCCTATATTAAAAACAAAGTTTTCACTTTATGTTTTCAAGTACATATATAGCTCCACCAGTTTATAGGTTTCCACCTGTGGGATCTCTTCAGTACGTCGCTTCAGAACAACGAGATAATGGAAATTTAAAGCTCAAAGGAAGGAAGCCAAATGACCTTATTCAAATAGCCCATATTCCTGGTATCCACCTTAAGAACCCCAGGGTCTACGAACTTAAAGACTCCTAAAACAATCTCCCTCTTAAATCTGAAGAAAGGCGGCTATGGAGAGGAATTTCTTTTTAATGAGATGTTTTCTTTAAAAAAAAATTAAATCATAAAAAACTTACCTCAGTAAAAATCTTTAATTATTTTCCGGTCTTACATTCTCTTTCTTAGCACCTTTATTGTGAACCTGGTGGGGGGAAAAGTTAAAATTACTTTTAACTGAAGCAGATGCACAGATACAGAGAACAAACTAGTGGTTACCAGCGTGGGTTGAGGGGACAATATAGGGGTGGGGGTGGGAGGTGCACATTACTGGGAGTAAGACAGGTGACAAGCATGCATTGTACAACACGAGGCATACACCCACTATTTTGTAGTGACTGTAAATGGACTGAAATTTTTAAAAATTGCATCAAGATTTTTTCAAAGTTACTTTTTACTGAACATCTACTGCATGTCAGGCAGGGCAGTCAGAGAAAGCCTCCCGGAGAACATGAAGTCTGAGACAAACTGGAAAGAATAAAATGGAACTCCCCCAAATGGGAGGATCAGGAAGGAAAACAGGCAGTTACAAGTGTAATTATATAACTTTTCCTAAACTGTTCAAGAACCTAGAAATGACTGTATTCACTCTGCAGCAGGTTAAAAGTTGGGTTGCTAAGCTCAGAACACTCGCATCTGAGCCTCAGCTCTATCACTTCCTAGCTTGTCTGATCTTCAGCAAGTCCCTAAAAACACCTATGTGCCTCAGTATCCCCATGTGTACAGTAACAGTACCCAGCCCACAGGGTCACTGAGGATTATGTCAGATAATCCACATCAGGGAGTTTAAAACAGCTCTTGGAACATAATAAATGTTCAATGAATGTTAATTTCCATTTTTATTATTACATACTCTTATACAACAAATCCATTTGCCTCTTACCACCATTATTTAGTATTACCATTATTACTGTACTTAACAATGTACTAGGTGACATAAGAACCCAGATATATAAGGCAAAAGAAAGATCAAAGTCATTTATTCACTCATTTATTTTAAAATATCTGAATGCCTACTTTTTGCCAGGCATTTTGCATTCTTTGGTAGCCATGACGGACACAGTCTCTCTCCTCACAGTTTCCAGTCTATCAAGGTCCAAGCGGTAGGACAGACAAGCTACGCGAAGAGACACGTACTGTTCTTCACTGGGTGTGGGACAGCACATGGCTGAACTGGTAGAATCAGGTAGCAGAACATTCTGGGTGGAAGGGATGGCATTACAGGAAACACACACACAGGGCCTTCGGGGAATGCGAAGTAGCCTCCTGGCCCAAGAGGGCGATCAGCAGGAAGGCCAAGAAGCAGGAGTGGCCTCAGACCCCGGGTTGAGTTTGTTCTCTCTTCTCAATCAACAACATTGATTGTCCTACCCGAAGTGAATCACAGCTTAGTTTCAACTTCAACTCCAGTATCGTTCTATTATTATTTATTTCGTGGTTTCTTTTTCTTTTTTTTTTTTTTCTTTTAAAGGTGAGAGGGAAAAGAACAGGACAAAGAAAAAGAGAAGAGCAACCTCAATCCATGTAGGCACTGGCGGAGACAGTGGTGGACGCAGCACTAAGTGATGAGTTTTGGGTTCTTTCTTAATTCTTCCAACATTCTTAGAGTTAGAATTGTTCCTTCAACCGATTAGGAAACTGAGGCTCAGAGAAGTCAACCAGATCCCCACAGATGTCCACAGAGCTAATAAATGCAACCACAGGATTTAACTGCAAGCTTGACTCCCAAGGCTTTCTTCCCCTTAGACATAAATGTATACGGGAGCCTGCAGAACTTAAAGTCTGTTAAAAACTACTTAAAACTTCAGGGTATATCAATTTCTGTATTTACACAGAAATAAATAGCCTTCATACATACAATCAAAACCACTTAGAAAAGAAAAAGGAAGAGAAGACCTCACAAAATCAAATATATATACACGCACATATATATAAAATAAATTTGACAAGAAGTGGGCAAAACCTATATGAGAAAAACTTGAAAATGCTCCAGAAGGAGTCAAAAGTAAAACCAAACAAATGAAAATACACACAGTGTTCTTGGATAGAAAAATTAAATATTAGAAAGAGATCAATTTTCCCTATGATAGTTTTTATAAATTTAACATAATCCTAATTTTATGTGTTTTTTCTTTCTTAGAATTGACAAATGATTCTAAAGTTCACACGGAAAAATAAACAAGCAAGAATTGCCAGGAAATAAAGGGCTACAAGAGAAACCAGTTTTACAAGGCATTAAGACTTTTTATAAAACCAATAACGTGTACTTGTGCATGAACAGAAAGACTTAATGGAACAGAACAACGTCCAGAGATGTACCCAATACAACCAAAAATTCAGAATGTAATAAAGGTGTACTGCATTCTGAAACAAATGGGTAAAGATAACTGGAAGCCATGAGAAAAAATGTGAATCTGTGTATCACCTCTGAACACAAGAATAAATTCTAAATGGATCAAAGATTTAAGTGTAAAAATGAAACTATAAAAGCACTTAAAGAAAAAAAAAAACCGCTGGCAAATTCCAAACTCTTGGAGGTCTTTCAGTGACTCAAAATCCAGACACCATAAAATATTAACTACCCAAAATTTAAAGAAAAAACTTTAAGCCTTCTCTATACCAAAATACACAAAAGTAAATTAAAAAAAAAAAAAAGACAAACTTCAGGAAATTGCAACTTGTATCACAAAGGGCTAATCTCTCTAATCTATAAACTCCTAGAAATTGATAATTAAAAAAAGCAGTCCAAAAGAAAAATGTGCAAAGGGCATGAACACATAGTTCACAGAAAAAGATAAGCATTTTTTAAGCATATGAAAAGATGCTAGCCTCATCATAATCAAAGTAATGCACACTAAAACTACAACAAGCTATTATTTCACCTATCAGACTCACACAGATCCAAAGGTTGGTAAACAGTCTACTGGGAGATGCTATGGAGAAACAGGTACTCTAGTGGAATTACTTGCAAGAGTTCGAAATGGTACAACCTGAAGGAGAGCAGCGTTTATCAAAATCACAGAGGCACTGTTCACTGACCCAGCAACCCTACTTCTGGAAAGATATCCCACAGATACACCTCACCAATACCAAATGGTATGTGTACAAGGTTGCTCACCGCAGGCTGTCTGTGATTGCAAGAGGCTGGGAAACACTCAAGTGTTCATCAGTGGGGGATACTGGACAAACCGTGGCACAGCCCATACAAGGATATATTTTCCAACTGTTAAGTAATTGTTTTCTATATACCAATATGGAAAGATATCAGAGGTATACTAACTGAAAAAAAGCAAGGGTTAGAATAATTTACACAGTATACTGCGTTTTACATGAAAAAGAGGGTGTATACAGAGTATACTGGTGTTCATCTGTATCTACGCAGAGTAACAATAGGCATTTATAGGAAGAAAAACCTTTTTAATTATCTATGGGGGGAGGGGGCAGGTTAGATCAAGACAGAGTTGGAAATTAGACTCCTCAAAATATGTCACTTTAATTTTTGGACCATATGAACATTTTATAGACACAAAAGAATTTTCAAGTGTTAAAAAGTGTAACTCACAGAACAAAGAGAAAGAGAACTACTTATCACCTAGAGTCAAAATTCAACTCACATTAAAAAGGAAATTTTCTTCAAAATTAGACATTAACAAGCAAGTTTATGGGGGGCAGGATATAGCTCAAGCGCTAGAGCACATGCTTAGCATGCATGAGGTCACAGGTTCAATCTCCAGTCCCTCCTCTAAGAATAAATAAATAAATAGATATACCTAATTACCTCCCCACAAAAAATAAAAAAAAATAAAAGGACAACAAGCAAGTTTAGTGTTGCCATCACTAAAAGAATCATACAAGACAATGTAATTTTTTTCCTTCAAACATGCTAAAACATATTAATTATAATAATCTATATAAAAGCTGTTTGGGGGGCAAGGAATCAGAAGAGAGAATAGGAAAGTGCAAGGAGAAGGAAGCTTTAGTCTAATGGTTCTCAAAGTATGGTCCCTGGACCAGCAGCATCAGCATTACCTTAGAACCTGTTAAAAACGCAAATTCTCAAGTCCCGGCCCACACCTACTGAACAGAAACTCTGACAGTATAACAACCTATAAGGTAGCACTTCTTGTAATACATACTCAAGCTTGAGAGCCAGTGATGTGACCCAGTGCATCACTTGGAGGAGGATCTTCTTAAAATGTAGATTCTAGTTCATTAGGTCTGGAGTGGGCCTCAGAATCTGCGTTTCAAACAAGCTCTAGGAGGCTGCTGATGTGCTGCTGGTTTGGAGTGCACACTTTGAGAAGAAAAGCTCAAATCTGCTTGGGGAAGGAGATGCGCAAAGTCTTCATGTGGTTGAGTTTCCTATGAAAACTGCCCTCAGTAGCAGACCATCCTTACACAGGTTTCTGAGCTGGGAGACCCAATGAAGCTTCCCATATAAATTCTGTCCTTAACATGAAACAAATACATATTCAAACATATTCCTTATTAAAACAACAGTGAAGAATTGAAATCCAATTTAAGGACATCCCGTTTGAGGCACCTTTCCTTTATAAGTGAAACTATGAGCCTTCCAGAATGGGGGAAAAAAAATCATACATCTGCCTGGTTATACTATCTGATTAACTTTACTTCAAACACATTAACCACACCATCTGTTCTCCATGAAAAATCACCAAGCAGTTTGTTTCCTTCTAAACATTTTTTTAAAATGGTTCTTATATTTACAAACACTGATTCTCCATTTGTTTTATATGGGGGAAAAATCTTCACAGGAATCCTCAAAGAATTCAAGTTTAAATTGAAGGATCTGGAAATGCTGTGTATCTTCACTTTGCAAGTCATCCTTTGGATAAAGCTTTTGGTGATAAACATTAATCAATGTGCTGAAATTTCCACATATCCCTATTTCACTGTATCTAAGAAGCCATCAATTTCAGACATTATTATTTTATGTACCACTAAGAAAGAAGTTGCCAATTAAGCCATGTCAATTTTAAGATACCATTCCATCTAGGATATGCATCTTAAAAATCAATGAACTACCTTAATTATAAATTTCAGAGATATGTACATAACAAATTATGCATTTTCATCTATAGAGGCATAGATATTTTGTCCATTCATCAATTTGTCCCCATGCCTAAACACTAGAACAGTTTTAACATCTATGTAGTATTACTTGGTTCATTCTTGCACATATGAATATTTTAAAAAGTAGTGAAAAAAGAAAGGAGAAAGAAAAGGAGTGACCCTGTTTTACCCTGGAACATGCTGCTGCTTGCTCAAAGCAATAAAAATTAATCACTCTTAATTCAGGTAATTTTCCAATCCAAAAGTATTAATGTATCTATCTCTAGGCAATTTAAAATATATCCTTCCATTTTGACAACAGACTTTCTTTACATGTTCCCATAGCACTTTTCAAAAGTAATAAGCAATAAACAATAAACAAACATTTTCCAGCAAAGAAGCAACTTACCTATTCAACAAAAAGAAAAAATACTTTCTTTGTAGATATAACAAGAGTTGAAGAAATTTATGTTATAGTGTAACTATATAATAGTCTGAGTTGAACTTAACTCAATTTGCATTTTCCCCATAGCAGCAAGACTAACAGAGTTTCAAATGAAAAGAATTTCTAATGAATCATACCAGGACTGAGGACATTGGTGATTATAGGTCATTTTAATTTTCACCTTTGTACAATATACATTTTCCAAGTTCTCTAATATTGATATTAGTAAGTAGAAGGAAAGCACAGGGAAACATTTTTCGCAACAAAAATTGTTTGCCAGTTAAATTCTACCCCCTTTCCTCATATAACTGAGTAGACAATGGAGATTGTTCTTTAGAGTGGATCTCAAGGGGACTAGTACTGTCCTCTAAGAGATACGTTTAGTTATCAAAGTGATTAGGGGACACCACTGGCATTTAGTGTTTGGCAGCCGGGATGCTTGAATGTCTCACAAGGCATTCCACATAATGAAGATTTATCCTGCTCCCAAGAGTCTTCTGAATGTCCGACCAGATTAATCACCAGTTTTCAGTTTTTACAAGAAATGATGGGAAAACCCCAGTAATTTAGGAAAAGGTAACTAAAGCAAGAAAACTTGAGACTAAATAACTACGTGTGAAATTAGGGACCATTTCCTCACACCACCATAACTCAACATATACCGGCAGTGTCATAATACTGAGCATATCTTAACTGTAAAGTGAGATACTGGCACGGAATTAAAAATATTTCAATCTAGCTAATATTTTATTCATTATTATCAATGACTGGGGGAGGAATCCTGCATGGTGCCTCAAAGCAGCAATTTCTCAAAGTTTGTTGCACAAGAGATGCCCTACAGTGTAATCTGAAAATACAGCATTCATAGAGTACTTATACTAATATTATTTATACGTTGATTCAGACAGTCTGTACTTTATCTTGGTTATTCCTAATTCAATCTAGGCTTGCTTCTCTCCTCATTTTCCTAAATAGGTTATACCAACACAGGTGTCCGCCATCCTCGTGTTCATCTGTATCTCTCATCTTTCTTTTCCTTGTTTGAAACAGCTCCTGATATTTTTCTCTCTCTTCAGTCCAAGTTGGATTCACTAGAAACAGGTACAAGCATCCCAGACCAGGCTGTCTTCCAGCACAGCAGTATGTGCTAGATGTGGTTCGGCAACACGTGTCACATATTGTTCTCCTTTCACCTCTCCCTTACACTAAGTCGGGACATCACACTGATTTTTTTTTTAATTTAAGTATAATCAGTTACAACGTATAGACAAAAATATGGAACGCTTCATGAATTTGCGTGTCATCCTTGCGCAGGGGCCATGCAAATCTTCTCTGCATTGTTCCAATTTTAGAATATATGCTGCAGAAGCCAGTACCTGATTTTCAGTTACGTATGTTGCCACGTTATATTACTGATAAATTTCAATTAAGAGCTGTAAAGGGGACTTCACAAACATCTGCTGCAAAGGGGAGGGGCCTTGGTCCTGGAAAGGTTGAGTGGAATCACGTGCTTAACAACAAAAAAAAAACCAAACTTAAAAAGTTTCCTTTGCCTAAAACAAGCCCTGGGCTCCAATATTCCACTTCCACTCGATATGACAGCCCACCCTAGGCACACACCGCTGCTCTAAGCACACATCTGCAGTTACAAAGGGCCAAACAAAAGTTCTTGACCATTTCGGGGTCAAGGACCCTTTGGGGAAATTGACAAAAGCCAAGGGCTCTCTCCCAGTAAACTCACATACCAAGCAGTATTCAATTGGGGGAGGGGGGCTCCCAGACACACCCTTTGCAGCCCAATTGGGACCGGAGGAGTAGAATTCGAGCCCTGAAACCTCGGGAGTGGGGGTGGGGAGAAGGATGCGAGGCAAGGACCCGGTGGGGCGCTGCAGTCGGTGTCCCTGGGTTTGAATCCCGATTCCACCGCTTCCCAGCAGCTTGACTCTGGGCAGGGCGCTTCACCTCTCGGTGCAGCCCCGGAGAGAAGCCGCCCAAGTTAAGTGCGGGCAGACGGTTAAAGCTCAATAAATGGTGCTGCCGCGGCCAGCAGCACCGCGTCCTCGGCGCCAACCGGCTGCCAGGGTAAACTGAGGCGCGCCCCGCGGTCGCAGCCGCATGCGGGGACTGGCTGTGAGGGGACCGGCCCGAGCGGCCCCGCGGCCCCGGCCCGGCCGCCCCGCC